TCTTATTGGAGTCAGTCTAGAGATCTGAGTCAACCTGGGTCCTTATTGGAGTCAGTCTAGAGATCTGAGTCAATCTGGGTCATTATTGGAGTCAGTCTAGAGATCTGAGTCAATCTGGGTCATTATTGGAGTCAGTCTAGAGATCTGAGTCAACCTGGGTCATTATTGGAGTCAGTCTAGAGATCTGAGTCAACCTTGGTCCTGAGCGGAGTCAGTCTAGAGATCTAGGGTCCTTATTGGAGTCAGTCTGGATATCTAAGTCAAGCTCTGTCCTTATGTGAGTTTTCGCCCCCCGTGTCCCTGAGGCAGTCTGACCGGAATGTCAGCCATGGTCCCTACAGAAGTCAGTGTTGAGTTCAGGAAGATCATGAGTCACACGGGACAGCAAGTGTAGCAGATTATAGATGACGAACACGTTATGATAAAGGGATAACTTATCCCCAACACAATGACCGCCATTCAGGAGATTACCCAGTGGGAACACATCCGAGGTGCGTGAGTGTAACAGGCGGACCAAACTAGCGAGGGGAGGGGCAGGGATGGGGGTGGGAGGGGGACATGGTTGGCGACGCCGGTCTTATCTCCCCCATCTCGCCCCGCCCACCAGGATTTAGTCAGTGCTGAGAGAAGGTGGAAACAATAGGCCAGTAAACACGGGTAATTTGGTTCCTCTCGGTGGCTCTTTAGGCCCACAAAGAAAGATACAGCCGTGAGATTGGGACATTGAATTTGAATTTATTTAGCAGGAACAATTACACGTTTGCTCAGCTATCACCGTATTGTAGCTAGTGTTGGTGTGTGTGACTGGAACAGGCGACCCACGGCAGTCACAGAGCCTCCTCTGCCCATTACCAACAGATTACTCGCATGACGAGACTGGCGGATGTGCGACACTATAGGCCGTATTACCAGCTCATCTTAAACACTGCTATTTGACATACACATCGGTTAGAAGACGTAGTGCGGGGATTTATCACACCAGATAGGTAGATTGTATCCCACTAAACGCCGCCCGGTCAGAAAGGGGCTCAGTGATCGGGGCTACATGAGGAGCCAAACTTCAAACAGACCTTACGAGATAGATAATCGGCAAGTCTAGACTAATACATAGGCTTCTGCCCTGCCTGTGATCCGTGTAACGACTGCAGAAAGAGGCACATTGACCCTTGGTGCTGCTGGAGACTCCCCTTTCAGCCTTGTTGTCTGTCTCCGGCGAAACACCTCAGGATTGACTCCATCTCGCCTCCTGTCTGTGTGGGGGTATTCACGCTTGGTAGAGTGCCCACAGCAAGGGAACAGTATCGGTATACAACACTTGTAAGTCTGTGGGTAACAGTTCCCCACATACGACTAATAGCTTGTACATCACATGAATGTTGGCAACCAGAGTCGCCCACAGCAGAAACATGTGAAGGAAACCTAGCGTACGTCAGGGAAGCATCATAGCTGACACGACATAGACGAACACAACCGCTGACCTTGTCAGCATGACACCGCTATCATGAACAGTGTCAGGGATAAAACTGTTACTACAAATACTGTCACCAACACTGTCAGAACTGACACTGTCCGCTCTAACACTGTCACCTGCACCAGCTGTCACAAACACTACCCACCAAATATTCTAGTTCGCTGTCAGTGGTGGTCAGGTAGTGCCACAATGCTGATTTGTATGGTCAGTGTACAGTCATGACATATAAGTGATGTTTGCAACAACCAGTTGCCCACGAGTCCTCAATGGCAACCTAATGTCAATCACTTTGTTTCTTAAAACAACCTCCTATGTTGGTATTAATTAAGATGTCGGTGATACTGTGAAAACGTTGGGCCACATCAAAACATTTTCTTTGATAATTTGCTGAAACACTTAAACAGAAATATATCTATCAAAGAAGCATGTAAAGGTTTAGCACACACATATGCAGTAAAGGCTATCATATAGGACTTTTACAAGTTTCTTGATTTCGTTTACATTTCTGGTGTTCAGCATACTGTTGTTTTTAATTCATGGAATGTTTTATTAGGACAAAACGTGTATTCATTTGAAATACTTAGAACTGGACAAATAGCAAACGTCGTACCAAAACAGGTGGTGGACTTAATCGGGTATAGCTGACGAAATACATAGTCATCAGTGCTAACGATTGTCCTTGCCGTGAGGTCAGCAGTGCAAACGACGTGTCTATAACATAGTCAGCTCTAACCCATTGTCCATGAGGTTGTCAGTGCTAACCGATTGTCCATGATGTCACCAGTGCTAACCGATTGAACATGAGGTCATCAGTGCTAACCGATTGAACATGAGGTCATCAGTGCTAAGCGATTGTCCATGAGGTTGTCAGTGCTAACCGATCGAACATGAGGTCATCAGTGCTAAGCCACTGTCCATGCGTTTGTCAGTGCTAACAGATTGTCCATGAGGTCATCAGTGCTAACAAATTGTCCATGAGGTTGTCAGTGCTAACCGATTGAACATGAGGTCATCAGTGTTAAGCGATTGTCCATGCGTTTGTCAGTGCTAACAGATTGTCCACGAGGTCATCAGTGCTAACCCATTGTCCATGAGGTCATCAGTGCTAAGCTACTGTCCATGAGTTTGTCAATGCTAACCGATAAACTATGAGGTCGTTAGTGCTAACCGATTATCTTTTAGGTCGTCATCCCTAACCGATTGTCCATGAGGTCATCAGTGCTAACGATTGTCCATGGGGCCATCAGTGCTAACGATTGTCCATGAGGTCGTCAGTGCTAACCGATTGTCTATGAGGTCATCAGTGCTAACGATTGTCCATGAGGTTGTCAGTGCTAACGATTGTCCATGAGGTCATCAGTCCTAACCGATTGTCCATCAGGTCGTCAGTGCTAACCGATTGTCCATCAGTTCATCAGTTCTAAATTATACAGAACATCTTTCAATTGGCTTCTGGCTGAGAACTAGGAAATATGTTTGAGGGGTCTGGTGTGGCACAACCTAATTGACGCAATCCTTGTATTTGTTATCGGGAACAAACGTGAAGTATACGGGGTTCTTGTGAGAGCATGTACGCCCAAGACCGTGGTCCTCGAGTGGCCCATGTGTCAAAGAGACCATGACATAATAAGCTGAAACTGCTTCAAGGTTATGCTAAAACAAATCACAATCAACTTCCAGTGTATACTGAATTTTCTGCCATCAGTGATTAGGTGTAAGACTGCTGTGTTTTAAAGGTATACCCATCTAGGAATAAATATTTAGAGCAGTCGTTTTCAACGTGATGAATGTGATCACAGATACTTTTTAAGAGGTGGCATTGTGTGAGGAATTGGGGTTGATATGATTAGTTTCCTGTACTCGGAAAAAGAGCTGGTTGAGCTTGCCACTCTTTTTTGTTTGTGTTGTCGCTTCGGTGGCAGGCTCTATGTAACACATATGTAAGGCTAAATACTGTGGGGTAACAATTCCTGCTGGTCATAAATACGTCAAAATACCCATACATTTAAGTTTCCTTTGTAATTTGTTTCAACCGTTCCTGCCAAGATGGGAAAATGGTATAAGAAGTAATAATGTAAAATTCGATTGTGAAACGTTAAGTTGAGGTAATCGGTTTGACTGGCATTTTAGACATTGGTGAGTAAAAGTAAAGCACCAAACTTCATGGATGACAAAATCTGTATTCAGATTTGTATGTAGCAGGTATATGAAGTATGTGCTGTGATGACATGTATCATTTATATGAAGTATGTGCTGTGATGACATGTATCATTTATATGAAGTATGTGCTGTGATGTCATGTATCAGGTATATGTAGTGTGTGCTGTGATGTCATGTATCAGGTATATCTAATGTGTGCTGTGATGTCATGTATCAGGTATATGTAGTGTGTGCTGTGATGTCATTTATCAGGTATACGTAGTGTGTGCTGTGATGACATTTATCAGGTATATTTAGTGTGTGCGGTGATGTCATGTATCAGGTATATGTAGTGTGTGCTGATAAGACGTTTGTCAGGTGTATATATATATATGCTGTCGAGGATCCACTATACCAAACATGTAGTCTTTACGAAGTGTGTTTTGTGATGAAGTGTTAATGTTGCTATGGTTGTTTATGTACGAGTGGATGGTCTTGAGACAAAAGCGTCATATTTCCGTCCTCACCCCATCCATCTCACTGACTCAAGATGACACACGCTGACAAAATCGACTCTGGATCACGTCTGTCCCTTTTTCCCTTATTCCGATAGAATCAAAATATGACATCGATAGCTTCCTCACTTGCGTGTAAAGCCAGTCTATTTATCACCGCGGTCTACATGGTGAAACATCTCCCCTCAATGGCGGCCCGTCGTGTCCCCACCCCCAAGTATTGTATATTACTTCCCTGACAACTTCTCGCTTGCTCCTCCACCCCTCGCAGCGCTCAGTCGGCTCAATGAGGTCTCTCATGCATTCACTTAAGGCTAGTCGTGTGGCAAATGTTACATAATACATAATTTGAAATTAATTTATAGTAAAGTGTTTGACTAATGCAAACAGTTGAACTGACATTGTCAACATTCAAAGGCCAGTGGAAGCACACAGGGGTATCGACCCTTAAAATATACTCTTGTTCATTTATTGAATGACATCAAAACGCTTTTAAACAACTATCACGCTGGAAGGAAGGGGTGCCTCACACAGAAAATGTTGTAGTGTTCGCAGAAACTGCAGCTTTGTAAAGATGACATCGATTATTAGCTAAATAATCAATAATCATTTCATCATGGCTGGTTCAGCGTCGCAATCAGTAATTGATATTCTGTCATTTAGTTTATTAATGACATCGTTTAAAAAGTCAAGTAGCACATGCACCGGGTTACACCGCCACCTTACACAGTCCCGACACGAGACGACTCAGCCCTTACCTCTCAAGTGTGAAATGAACAATCAATAAATGTCTCTTTGTTTGATTTTTTATTGCATGAAACATCAATGTAAAATGAAGAATATTAGAAACAGCATTAAATATGCTTTTGGGTAAAGATAATATAATGGTAACATGAATACAACCCATGCAACGCCCAGCACCAGCAGGCTTCAATGCACGGTATAGACAATCTGGACGTTCTAGTACTTTGTGACAGCACACTTAGTGTTCAGAGTACAGTCATTCGAACAAAGGGGACATCAGAAGAGCACTCTGGAACTTGTGACAGTGTATTTAGTGTTCATAGCACAGTCAGTCGAACAGGGGGAGTCAAAAGAACGCTCTAGCACTTGTGACAGTATATGAAGTGGTCGTAGCAGTGACGTCACATTAAGTGTTCGTAAAAACCCACAAAACAACAGTTATTTGAATAAACAGACATCTGATCAAAGCTGGGATTCAGAACATAAGGACAGCCCTGTCACACAGAACATAAGAACAGCTCTGTCACACAGAACAGGACTCATATCAGGTCGACGCCGAGACGTGTCGTCACTGGGCACGTCATAGGTCGCGCCAACCTCCTCTACAGATGGCCACATGAACACAACACGCATCTCTTGTTTTCACAAAGTTCAGCCGTGTAACCTATCTGTCCAAGCTTCACTTCATACACAGCCATCGTTGGTCAGCTCGGGGGACATTCATCCTCGGTTCTCCGGGAACACAGTGGACCCTGTTGGTGTTGGGAGCTGACTCACGTGTTGTTGGAGCCCGTGGATGAACATCCGGGGTAGTGAGGGCCTCTGTGCCTGCGTAAAGGCTGACTCTCCGTGGCGGAAGTAGAATGCGTCTATGTTAGAGAGGATGGACGCAGCCTGGGGATGATACGTGAACCAGTAGGGGTTGGTCTGGAGCATGCGCTGTACGGCGGCATAGTTGCCAGCTTCCGCCAAGAGTTCCAGACCGACGGCTGTCTGTCTCTTCCACTTGGTTCTGGAATAGAAGGAGAATGTGAGTTTCATATTACGTAGTGAATGTCTGGGAGGGGGGGGGGGGGGAGCCCCCGATTAGTCATTGTCATATAGGGCGTCATTGATAAGTGACTGTTATGCTAGGTAAGATCCGACGTCGGCATGCTACAAGTGTAGGCCTATTCCAAGTTGTTGAAGTTCGGTAAAACTAGAGATTACTGTAGACCCGTGTTCCCGGAGACGCAGCAGTTAGCTTGTATGGGGGGTATATCATATTAAACCCAGTCACATAATTGAATGCATCCTATTCCTTGGGATTAGCCATTGAGAACACCCACCCTTATCGGATGTAATTGAATCCCGGGAATAAAATGAATATATTAGATCTTTCTCCAGCGCCGTGACATGCGGGCAACTATTGTCGCCAGCAGCATACAACGGCGGCACTGTGCTACAGGTGGTAATCTATATTAAATTAGTTCGGACAGAAGCCTCCACGGATTCACGGACCAAACTGATAGCAACATTTGAAAATACTCGGCAAAACTCGTGGTCACGAACACCTGGACAAGTAGTAGTAGTAGTAGTAGTAGTAGTAGTAGTAGTAGTAGTAGTAGTAGTAGTAGTAGTAGTAGTAGTAGTAGTAGTAGTAGAAACAGTAGCAGCAGAAACAGCAGTAGTAGTAATAGTCCCAGCAGCAGCCATGATTACATGATGACCTTTAGAGAGCAGACAGCTTCAAAAGAGAGGGGCTTTCCATTTTTGTCTGACATGTTTTTAGGAATACTTTCTCTAGGAATGCCTACTTCTCCAGATTTTGGAAAACAAAAGAAGGATGTTCACGACGAATAGTGTAGCGTGACATCGCTGTTACTTCTATATGTTGGAACTAGTCATCAGTGCGGGCATCAGACAATGGACAAGCGCAGTACAAGAGTCCGTTAGATCAGTCGTTATGCTGACATGTCATGGCTGACGGTGCAAAAACAGCCAGAAACGTTCTTCTGTCGTGCCTTGCATTTTTATTAAGTTCAATCAGTATATAAGAAGTTAACACAAACTGCCATCTTTTAAACTCCCTTATAGCGCTGCTGTCCCGCGTTCTTCTGCGCACCCCACACTCTACCGCACATATCTATCACTGTACGCGCCACACACCCAAGTACCTCAACGTACGGCACGACTCTTTAATCCTTTTCATAATATTGTTGTCAAAATTGACAGTATTTATAGGATTCTAAACGAGACCAGTGAATCGAGTAACGACGAAATTTGTTTGCGTTTTAGTCAAATAGCTGGAAGTCACCCCATCCCCATCACGGCGATAGGGCCATTGTCCGGGGCCTTGGGACCACGGCGAGTTCTGCCTGACGGCGCATGGTGTCGCCCCCCTGGAGAGAGTAGGTTCGTTCTGAGTGAAACTTTGACGCTCGTGACAACACTGAGAATGACGTCCTTTATTCCCGCAGCTTGTGTTAGTGCGAAATGAGTAACTCTCCTTTGACGGAGGCGTTAAGAGCACACCGTCATAGCTGGTTGTAGCAACACGGCAGTACAGGCGGCTTCTCACGGCCCTGACGGAGCGGTTCTGTGGGTGGCGCTGCGGCGAGGTACATTGCGATGCTGTACATTCCTATTTTATGATTTCGTTTTGAGTTGTAAAATAAACACTCTGTGGATGTCCGGTATAAAATTGTCGCCAGTGAACAAGTTTAAAACGTTTCCATTTAAAATAATGTCTAAAGGTTCAAGTAGAAGAACTGCAGTAGCCTTTTACCTCTGAAGTACATGAGAAAATTATCATTTTACTCAATATTTAGACCTGAGTAGGAAGCGGTCATTTATCGGAAGTAGGAGGCAAACAATATGCAAGAAGGGGTCGACCAGATACAAGACAAGCATTAGGGTGCCTTTGACCTCGCACTCCCCACTGTAACAAATGACCCGTCTCTTTCACACGCCGCGCTTTCTGACCGACCTGTGTTTAGTGTGGTTATTACTAGGGCATTGACGGCTGTACTAGTCGCCCCTTGAAATAACAATAGATTGATGTTCTGACACTCTGTCCTTCACGGTGAGGTCCAAACCCCTGTATTCCCTGTGAGAGCTGCAGCTGCTACAGGGGTGCCGTTACTGCAGGACAAATACGTCATCGCAGTACTTCACTGGTAGCCAAGGGGCTGGCAGGTACCATCTCTGCTGACTTTACAACATGGAGGCCAGAAAGACAGGAGGAAGTTTGGGTTTTCAGTGACATGGGTTTGTCTTCGGGTTGCTTGAAGGGTTTCTATAAAAATATCTAGGCAGATGTAGGGTGTGGAACCCCTCGCCAGGTCAGGGAGTGCGAATCTTTGAGCTTACTGAGTAGGCGAATGCAACATATCAGTTCCACAGTGCGAGTAAGATTGCCCTGAGCTGAGATATGTCTTGCCCTCAGTCAGAATGAGAGTACTTTAAGCTGAGATATGTCTCGCCTACAGACACAGTGAGAGTGTTCTAAGCTGAGATATGTCTCGTCCTCATTCACAGTGTGTGTTCTAAGCTGATATATGTGTCTCCCACAGGGGGAATGGGGGCCTTTAAGCTGAGATATGTCTCGTACACAGTCACAGTGAGAGAACTCTGAACTTTGTCTCACCTTCTGTTCTGGTACCACGTCTTCACCTGGGTGTCCGTGAGGTTGAGTTTGGCCGCCAGTTCCATCCTGTCCTGGACACTGAGGTATTTCTGTCTCTCGAAACTTTTCTCCAGACAGCTCAGCTGGTGGTCAGTGAAGGCCGTGCGGGCCTTGCGGGGCTTCTTGGACTTTATCATGAGGGGGTCAGTTTCATCACCATCGTCGACGTCATCCTCGTCGTCTGTATAACAAAGCAGTCATTTAACGTGAGGAACATACTTCTATGTCCTTACAAATCAAATATCTCTCAGTTTCACAACCTCAATATCATAATGATAATACCTCCATTTCACAGTACAGAACATAACGTATTATTACAAACATAACCTCCATTTTAAAGAATAGAATATACCTATGTTATACAGAAACACACCTTCATCTCATCGTACAAACCACAACATAGAGATACCTTCATTTCACCGCAGAGATATTACATCTGTATTATTTAACATATTCTCCATTTTACAATGAAGAACATACCTTTAAATGACTAAAATATGTACTTAAAGAACATATTTCCTTAGTCTTTTTGAGTCATATCTACATTTCACAGTATAGCAGTTACATCTATAAAATTATAACATATACCTCATTTTACAAGTTTAGAAAATATACCTCGTTTTAGTATTGAAATTACATATATATTACTATAAAATATACCTCCATTTCATTGTATAGTAATTACATCTATATTATTATAGAATATACCTCATTTCATTGTATAGTAATTATATCTGTATTATTATAGAATATACCTCATTTCATTGTATAGTAATTACATCTGTATTATTATAGAATATACCTCATTTCATTGTATAGTAATTACATCTGTATTATTATGGAATATACTTCCATTTCACTGTATAGTAATTACATCTATATTATTATAGAATATACCTCATTTCATTGTATAGTAATAACATCTGTGTTGTTATAGAATATACCTCCATTTCATTGTATAGTAATTACATCTATATTATTATAGAATATACCTCATTTCATTGTATAGTAATTACATCTATATTATTATAGAATATACCTCATTTCATTGTATAGTAATTACATCTATATTATTATAGAATATACCCCATTTCATTGTATAGTAATTACATCTATATTAATTTAAAAATATATATAATTTTAGAATAGAAATTACATGTATATTGTTACACAAAATATCTCATTTCATTGCATAGAAATTACATCTATATTATTATAAAACATACCTCCATTTCACAGTATATAAATTACATATATACATTATAATAAAACTCATTTCACTGTTTAGAATTTCTATATGTATTATAAAATAATATGCCTCCATTTCACAGTATATAAATTACATATATACATTATAATAAAACTCATTTCACTGTTTAGAATTTCTAAATGTTTTATTATATAATATACCTCCGTTTCACAGTATATAAATTACATCTATGCTTTTATAAAACATACCTCATTTCACAATATTCAAATTACATAAATATTACCATATAATATGCCTCCATTTCACAGAATAGAAATTACATATATATTATTGTGATGAAATATACTTTATTTCACAATACAGAAATTAGATATATCTTATTATAGAATATACCTCAATGTCAGAGTATAGAATTTCATCTATATTATTACAAAAAAACACCTCCATTTTACGGAATAGAATGTAGCTCTATTTTATTGTAAAATATACCTCCCTTTCACCGTAGAGAACATACATCGACATCATTGAAAGAGATATACCTCTATGTCATTATGCAAAATATAGCTCCATTTCAGAACTTATTTCTAAAACATTACAACATTATCTTTCCAATTTACTACATGGATAGAAGTTAAGTATTTAGTTCATCTAAGAATACACATGAAGGTAAGAAATCTCTTTGAAAATCCAGATAAAAAATCAATTAATTACATAATAACCTAGATACGCACACGCGCACACACACACACACACACACACACACACACACACACACATACATACATACATACATACATACATACATACATACATACATACATACATACATACATACATACATACATACATACATACATACATATATACATACATTAGAAACAACTCTTTCAATTTCTTATATACCATAAATCAACTTTCTTTCGACCGTCAGATTATTTTCCCCGTTAAGTAACTGACACAGGGTAACTGGATAGTACTCATTTGTAAATGGCATGTAATACTCGTCGTGTTTTAATTCGTAACTGTTATTGCGGAAGTTTTGTGGCTATTACAAATGTTGCAGAGTTAATTAGGAAGTTGCACACTCTTGGCGAGAACGGTCAACTGTAGTCAGCCGACGGATATTCGCCCCCACGATCTGGGATCAGGTAGCTGTTGACAGCTAGTTTAGTTAATCACGAGCTGTGAAGGATGAGATTTGTTTTAATAATCACGTATTGAGAGGGGCACTGTGTGATCTGTGTCCCAGACCTTCATCAAACACACCTGCATCACCAGCTGATCAACTCATTCTTTTGTTATTATCTCTTATGCAAAGGTTTCAAAGTATTTTAATGAGTAAATAAGGTATCTGTTCTGCAAACAAATGTTCAGAGATGTTACGGTTGGTTGTAGTAGTAATGATTATTACGTATTTAAATTCGTTAATTGACAAATATTATTAATCATTCATCCGTAGTGGTCGGTTAGATATGTGTGTGTCCAAGCTTGGGAGCATTTGACCTCCGTGCAAGGATAGAAGTTGACTCTTCTCGCTTATAAAGGTTTACCCAATTTACACAAACGGACAGATGAATATTATATACATATATCCATATTAAGAAAATTATATTCCTAGGACTGGCACACCAATACTTTTCTTCTCGTGATTTGTTGGCAGTTTCTTTACAGCACATTTTAGTCCCAAATATAATGTATGTTGTTTACAGCTTGTTTACAGCATTTTTGTTATCCCAAATATAATGTATGTTGTTTACAGCATATTTTATTCCCAACTATAATGTATGTTGTTTACAGCTTGTTTACAGCATATTTTAGTCCCAAATATAATGTATGTTGTTTACAGCTTGTTTACAGCATATTTTAGTCCCAAATATAATGTATGTTGTTGTTTACAGCTTGTTTACAGCATATTTGAATCCCCAAAATTATATATTTTGTTTACAGACAGCCTGCTGTGTTCCCAGGGGGTTACAACTTACAAGCCTTCAGTTTGCACCCTCGCCACCGGTCAGTCCGTGACTGGCCAAAAGCCACATGGACCAGGACAGGCTGACACGAGGGGTGGACTTCTGTATAGCCATAACAGTATTAAAACATTGTGCGCTTTGAGCAGGATATCTCGCCTCGACAAGGGTGTTATACATATTGTCATTATTATTAAAACACATTCTACTCGGTCAAGTTGAATTTTGTGCAAAGTGATTGATTTACCATGCTAAATTTCATTTTTTAAATATAAAATTATAAAAGATTTCTAAGACACTTTCAAAGTGGAATGATCCAATTTCGGATCCCAACATAGGAATTTAGAGTGTTTATTGGTTAATTGTCTTTTGCAGAAATGAAATATATATTTATTTTTCGGAAAACATGACAAAATTTCTTTCATGTTAATTAATATTTATAATTATATTTTATTTGTTGAATAGTAATAATTAATATACTTTAGAAAATTTTCAATATACGAATATTTGCAGAAATATATTTGTTAGAGACAATTACAATATTTCCTTTATGTGGAATCACTGAATAGTAGTTTGTGCTTTGACATTAAACATACAGCCAGCAAAAAGGTTTCTGTAAGATAGTAAATGTTAACGGTTGTTTAATGGGACGTTTGAAGAAAAAGTCCGTAAAAGTTTCTCTGCGAGTATTATTGTATCAAAGCATATGGTGAACTTATTTATTCATTGTTTTGTCACAATGTGCATTGACAAATATTTGAAATGTTGCAGATATTTCCTTAAAGACCTGATCTATGTTGTCAAGTAATCCTGGAAATTATTGAAGTCAGATATGTAAGTATGGTATAGAGTGAAATAAGGGTGGGTTGAAAATGATTTATATATGTATGTTATAGATGGAAATATAGGTTGTGTTGAACAAACGTTATATATGTATGATGTAGAAATAAATAAAGGGGGTGTTAAAATGAGTTATATTTAAGTGGTATAGATGGAAATATAGAATGTGTAAAACAGGAGTTATATAGGTATTAGGAGTTATACAACACACTCAGGTTGGTGGGTGTCGCCGGGGTATGACACACAGGGACATGCGGTGTTATAGTACCTATGTGCATACCATTAACTTTTCATGCTACATTTCTGATTGTCCATGTTGATTAATAATCAGTGTTTACACGGTTTAACAAGATTCACCCACATATATACTGTTAAATGTTAAAAATTCATTGACACTCACCACTGTCGCTTAGGGATGTGTCCGCTTTCTTGTAGAGGGGAGAGCGAGACCGCGATCTGTCTGAAAGATGTCCAGCGTTTCTGGCACTATCTGACAAGTGCCCGAGTCTAGATGTGTCGGGCAGGTGCCCGACTCTAGATGTGTCGGATAGGTGCCCAAGTAAGTTACTGTCAGTTATGTGGCCAAACGCCCTAGCACTAACGGGCGTTGTGTCCCTACCTCGCACATCCCTTGATAGTCTGTCAGACAAGTTGGTGCCTCTCTGCCCAAGAATGTCTGTTATTAGGAAGGACGGTCGTGGCAAAACTTTTACAGTTGGTTTGATAGAAGTATGGCATTGCGTTGAATTTGGTGACGAACGGTCGTTGCCGCTCTTGTGGTCGATGTTGCTGCTGTGTTCGATGTTGCTGTTGCTGTCACTGTCACAAACTCTGCTCTCTGTCACATCAATGTCTGAGCCCCCATCCGACAACTCCGCGTCTGAATCCAAGGGTACCCGTCTCTCTTCCTCCTCCCGCAGTGGAGATGCCGCTCCTTTCTCCATCATCAGCTGTAGAGATGAACTTTGAGAGTTACTGTTGCATGTCTTGATAATAAACAAACTTCAGATGTCTGAAACAGTGTCGGGGAATCTGACAACAAGACGTCAGATATCGGGTAATATCGTGAGTCGGTCCACTCTCTCACTGATCAGCCAGCTACCGAGGGGGGGATATGTGGGTGAGTAAACAGGGTTGTCTCCTCGGGGGTCGGCGGATGACGGTCGGCGATACTGCGTGTATTGACGGTTCGCTCGATTCTATTCCATGTCAATTTAATAGCGTTTGAATACACTGGCAATTGATCGCATCTCGTCAAGTGTGGCAGCAGTTAGTGAGGTGTTGCTTCAGTTTACTTGTAGACCAAACCAATTAGATCCTTCCTCGCTGGCTTGTTTGACCAATGGATAGTGTAGTTTCAACTTGTGGGCGGTGCCAACTGTTTGAAGTCGTCATCCCACTCTGCTGTGATTGGCTGCTGGGTCCCCGGGTCGGTGGCGAGGCCGGCTTCTACCTGTGTTGTAATTACCTCGTTGTCTCTCCACGTTCGGTATTGATTGCCGAATGAGGCGCCTGAATCAGCTTTCATTTCTTGGAGTTAGCGATCAGTTAACTCACAAATAGATCGATACAGTTGGCTTCTCTCTAACTGAAATATTTTTATTGTCAATATATGATGCATTTTTAAATTGAATGCATTTAATTTAGTTTCGGATGTTTTTAATTTTAGAAATCAGGAAATAAATATATTTGTTATTTGATGATATTTTGAGGTTTGAAGGATGATAATGTTATTGATTAAGTGACATCTGTAGATTTGTAATCTTCCCTATGATTCTGTGCTGTTCTTGTTGGTGGTGGCTGCCTTTTTCTTCATCTATTAGGTGTGTAAGGAGTCGACTTTTCACTCAACAATTACATTTCATATCCAAAATGGGAAATGGGATATACAGAATCTCCGATAGTGACTGATTTGCGGATATGGGGATGGGAGGTGGGGTGGTACGGAATGTAAAAAGGGGTCAGAGGTGTGCGTATGTTTACGTGCGTGTGTGTGCGTTTGCGTACTGAACAGATTATGTTGGAATCCATCTTACTACCAAAACCACCAAAAGCAATATGACCATAAGTGATTTTATAAGATCCGTCACGCGGTTCGGTTCCTTATTTGGTGTCATGGGTCAGTCACGTGACACGCAGGTATCTATCCAGACATTGCAGGCGACAAAATTCTGTACCATGTATCTTTCGTAAACATGCTCGTGCCCTCCGATCTCAAATTCCGCCGTGACACATTATAACAGGTTTTAGTTATTTAATGTGTTTAACACTTAAAATTAATAAATTAGATTAAAATTTACGAGAAACGATTTGTCATTTGAAGGATCTGGATGATCTCCGGCCTGAGTTTCGATGCTGTGGGACGCAGACAGACGGACACAGACACATCCACAGACACAGGCCCTGACATTTCTGGTGGAATCTAGACATTGTTTTCAGTGATTTGTGTCAACTGATTTATTTATTAATTGCAATAATTGCAATAAACATCAAAATTTACAAATTAAATAGGTTTGAAATATTACATATAAAAGGCTGATGCCACGTATCAACCATAGATTGCCATATTGCCGGTGTCTCTAAATTTACTTGGTATTGCCATATTGCCCGAATCTCTAAATTTTTGTGATTTTGTTTGGCGCTAATTAATGCCGCAACTGTCAATGATCAATGAAAGATGAATGTAGTGTTAAACGTCATGATTAGTAATCTATATATAGTGGACATACGTATTTAACGATGTCTTCAAATCGGACCACCCGATCGACTTAATTGTCTAGTATGATCAACCATGTATCACTGGAAATAATGTTTTCATCTCAACAAAATAGAAACGTCTTTCCACCTTAACACAAGTTCCGGATGCTCTACTGTTGGTATGGTGTATCGAATGTATATCTGTATGCTCATATAGCACCGCTTGTAGATTTTCGAGTTTAACAAATTGAAAATGAGAATTGCTCAAAGCTGTTTCAGAAGGTCCGTTCTTTTGAATTAATTCAGCCCTTAAGTCATCGAGTGTAAATATAACTGTACACAATATCAAGACATAGGTAGTGATTATTGTCAGGTATGCAGGGCCAATGGTGTTGTTCCCATACCCGGGAATATATGGGCAACAATGTCGCGCCACAACAATGACGTTACAGTGGTACATGCCACCGTGTAATATCGGGTGCTACTTTAGACACGTTCCCATCGTTTGTGATCAGAAATCTGTCGTGATATGCTCCGTGATGTGTGCGATGATGATCGGGGTCGCTGATAGCCGAGGGTGTAGAATAGCAGGGAGAGCGGGTCTGGCAGAACGACTCTCTATAACGGTAACTGCCTTGACACCTGAGATTTACATTTGGATAATCATCATGGCTCATTGTTTCAGGGACTAATGTAAGTGTGAACGATCTTTGTACACGGAATGGGACTGTTTCGCCTGTATTGAAGCCGTGTATGGCCTCGCCTTTGTGGACGCACGCACATATCAACATTATAACATTTCAGAGAATGCCATTGAGATACAATAAACTTTTCGCCTTCAAAGTTGGGTTAAATGCACGTGCTCTATTGTGAGTCGTTTGTGGCGGTAGCTGCTTATGTTTCTATTGTGCGCCTGTTGACAGAAAAAACATCTGAGTGGCACGCATTCCTGAAACATTTCTCCCGTTTGGACGAGGATATTTGTAATGTACCACTAACTCGCTCTCTGTAATGGCGTCTGACCGTGACTGAAGGAAGCATGTCGGTTTCTCACACCAACTTAAATAACATCTAAATACATTATTGAACAAAGCGTGTCGTTAAATGTATAGTCACTCGCTTTATCCGCAATCTTGTTCTGTACAAACATTAAAGTTAGCCAAACACCACCTATATATGAAGAGAATATTGATGACATTCAAGTGTACACAATTATATGTGTTAACCCTGTCTACAATGTAATTATTTCACAATGAAGCGAAAATTGCTTTGCTCATGTATATGTTACTGTCTATCAGTAAAGTGATTGACTTGCGCAATTTACAAAATGCCTTAATATTTTAGTCATGTGACAAATTGACTAAAACATTATGTTTGCGAGATTGACTGAAATTAGTCAAGAGTGTCAAAGGGGGCTAAAACATTACAGTGGACTAATTAAGCTTAGATTAATAGCCCAGTCCACCCCCAACACACACACCCAAAACACACACACACACACACACACACACACACACACACACACACCTAAACAAAATCAAATATATACTGACTTTAATATTCTTATTCCTTTCAGTGACGCTATGATGGTATTCAGCATGAATGTGTTGGTAATGGAGGGAATTCGATATTTGATAGAAATAAACTGACAGACTTTTTGCTAATTTGGAAACCGACTAATATGTCTGTAAATATTTCAGTCACATTACAGACTGACAATACCATATAACGATATCCAGCATTTGATCAATCCAATGATTTCTAATTTGTCAAAATCGTTTATTGTTAATAGGGCCCAGTCTCGTTCTAGGTGACAATATCGTGAGGTAGCTAGTGAGAAGGGCTGTGTGAAGCTGTATGGGGCTGTGAGGTTGGCATATGGTCCAGATTGTGGTGGACATTACACCCAGGTGAGACAATGTCTCCTGACAATAGCGGAGAACGGAGGTCACAGGCACACACAAACTGCCGCTGATTGGGATGCATATTTCAAAGCTTGGATTTACCGCGTGGTCTGAGGAAATGGACAAATTGGAGTCAGCATGTACCAATGACGGCTCTGAATGCTGCCTTATGAATTATTATTGGGTAATTTGGCGGCCGTCGTGTCCATATGTTGGTTGAGATGAGAGTAATAAATTGTCGGCGTTTATTTCATCTAGCAATAACTCCGGTGCTGTCTGCAACACCAGCATATGCCGGACACTACCTCGCGTCAGTACACGCCGGTGTTACATCTACTGCCCTCTGACCCGTCACGATCTTATCTTCACTTCACCAAAACATGCACAGACTGTATTACGAACATTTACAAATATCCCTATTGATACACAAACCTACCGGCACTGACATATACCTACATATAAATACGTATTTAGATAATGTACTCATTCAGTATTTTCATATATATGGTCTGGTCGATATCGCTGTGTTGTCTAAACCGCATTTTCTTGATGTGATAATACGGTGCCTAGGCGGCTGTTCCAAGCACCTCCCCTACCAAAGGTAGATGGACAATTTAACGTTATAAACTATACGATTTTAGAAAAGTGTTCCTAGTTTGTCCCCTCGTGGGATCTTCTGGATTATTACATCATTGCTTTCTGTGTGCTGACCCACTCCCGGTATCCTGTCAACCTGACCCCAACAGGAGCTAACATTGCTGTAGTACCAGGGACAGGGTCGTCCACGTAGTCCCCTCGCTGTAACCCACGGAGCGGCCTGACACTGGTGTGGTCATGTTTATAGATCATGTATGCATATACATTGTACCTATATCCCCCTTCATAACGCACACACTAGCTATGGGGCGGTGGGGTAGCCTAGTGGTTAAAGCGTTGGCTCGTCACGCCGAAGACCCCGGGTTTGAGTCCCCACAAGGGTACAATGTGTGAAGCCCATTTCTGGTGTCCCCGCCGTGATATTGCTGGAATATTGCTAAAAGTGGCTTACTCACTCACTCACTCACAGTACACTAGCTCTACATTTATTCCGTCACATTATCTGCTATATGTTTACATTATACGTTACCCTCACATGCCAACATCACGATACTCGCTCACTCACTCACGCACTCACGCACGCACGCACTCACTCACTCATGTATTACTTCCTGTATGTGTAAACCTAAGCAGGACCTGCAGTGTTTCCAGATAAAGGTTGAGCTGCTCCACTCTCAGCTGACGCAACATACTTCCTCTAGTCAGGTCTTGTTTCCGGTGTTGTAGAGCCTGCGTGACGTTTATAATTACCATCACCGCCTTTAACGGTTGAACGATTTAATAATATATTGCTAAAGTTGTAAAGACTTTCTAGTTATTTCATTATATTCTAGTTATCCGCACAATATCTTTACGAGCGCATAATTGCATTGTCTAACATCTACTTCATAGCCAAGAATCGCCATCAAGTACCGCCATTACTTGCGCTTTGTAATCAAATTTCCCCCTTTTCTTCCAGAAGAGCGATACCAACACACGAAGAGTGGCACAGGAAGCAGCGAAAACACGGAATGGCGAGTCCCGTGGAAAACGGAATTTCTCCTGGGACGACGGGCCGAAT